GGGGAATCTGGAGAGGGTCGAGAGGAGGGCCACTCGCATGATTAGTGGTCTTCGTGATAGACCCTACGGGGGGAGGTTGGGAGAGCTGAATCTCTTCAGCCTTCACAAGAGACGGCTGAGGAGAGATCTTGTGGCCGCCTATAAATTTTTTAGGGGAGGTCAACGGGGAATAGGAGAAGCGCTGTTTACTAGGGCATCCCAGGGAGTGACTAGGAATAACGGGTGTAAACTAGTTGAGAGTGGATTTAGGTTAGATATTAGGAAGAAATGTTTCACGGTAAGGGTGGCCAGGATCTGGAATGGGCTTCCAAGAGAGGTGGTGCTATCACCTAGCTTGGAGGTCTTCAAGAGGAGGCTGGATAGTCACCTGGCTGGGGTCATCTGACCTCGGTCCTCTTTCCTGCCAGGGGCAGGGGGTCGGACACGAGGATCCATTGTGGTCCCTTCCAACTCTACAATCTATGAATCTATGAATGAATCTATGAATCTATGAAGCATGGGCAATGAAGGTTGGTGTCATGGGCCACCCGGGAGCCGGCCTCTTGCTCTTGAGGCAGAAACATGTCATAGGGCAGGGCCAGGTGGTGAGAGGCCTAGACTGCAAAGGTGAGCACCTGATGTAAAGGAGAAGATGAGGGGAGGTGTGGGAGGTAAGAGATAGGTGACAGGGCCCAAGCAACAGGCTGGGGGAAGGCTCCTACTCACAGATTGCTATTCCCACCAAGGCAGTGGTATTCAGGACTAAGCATGTGCGGCAAAGCGGGGGTGCTCCTGCCAAGGCTCATGCTAAGCACAGAGAGAGGAAGGGGGCACACGGGTAGGGAGGAACTTTCCCAAGACTTGACATAAGGAAGGAATATCACCCCATGGTGACATTGGTACAGATGTGGGGGGACTTTTTAAAGTGCATTTTAACAGCCCTTGGAGCATCCCCTGCCTTCACCTGTGGCAGGTTAGGGAGCTTTTGCTGTCTTTGAGCAATATGCCTCATAGTTTTGCAGCAGGGTTGAGTGTGTAGCTACAGGCATAAGTTAGATGAGGACTTGTAAGAGGTGGTTGGGATGGGGCGAATCCTGCTTCAAGCAGGGGTTTGGACTAGATGACCTCTGATGGCCCCTTCCAGTCCTACTTCTCTATGATTGTATAAGCAGCAAAATTAACACCAGTTTCTCTGAGCCCCAAGGCTTCGCTTTAGTTCCCCTTGGGTTTGTATCTGCTCTGAAAGATCTCAGTAAGTGATGCCTCTAAAACACACGGCAGCCACCACAACTGCAGCCAGCCATCCCTGTAGGTGCAGGACTTGTTCATGCTCTGGCAGGGGGAAGGGGGTGACAACTTGGGGGGGGTGCAGCATTTCATCCCACACCAATAGCCCTGTCTGGGGAGTTCCCAGTGAAGGGAGCTCTGCTGCTTCTGCTGGGAGAGGACAGAGTTAGGCACTAGACACATTGCATCAGGGAAGAGAGGGAGGGTTAGGCACTAGGCACATTTCATTGGGGAC